GGAACGCTTACCTCAGCTAATTGGTTTCTCACAATCCTAGAGAGGGGACGTGAACAGTGGGCATTTGCTTCTTGTATACAATGCAGCAACTGAAAGAATATCACCAGTGGACATTTACATATCGAGAGTTTGTCTGATTATTTCTTTATCTATTAACCATTTGCTTGATTGACATGTTGTAAATTTTGATTGACAGAATGTTGACTTGGCTAATTGGGAAGATTGAACCAACTTCAAATACAACTCTGGTACACACCGAAGTCCAAAGTCTCGTGTCCTTGAAACAAACACAACATGTATTATACATACTTTACGCCTGTATGCAATCTTCAAATAAATAATAACTCATTGTAGATTAATTTCATCGATTTCTTCCTGGTTTCCTTCCAACTTTTCCAACTGTCACTTCAATATTAATTTTCTCATAATAAAGTGGCCCTTGATAATAGATTTTTGGCGATCAAGTCCTTCTAAAGGTTGCAATATGTCATATACCTTTACCAGGACACACATCAGAGAGATCCATGATCTTGACAATATATTTTGGCCGAAAATCATTGATTTTTAGAGCTAAATGCAAAGACGTTTTCCAGTACGAATTCCGCCAATCATTCCGCCATTTTTCAAAACAAACGCCCGCACTACAGTCAGTGGTGGAGAAATGAAAACATGCTCCTGAGTAACTCGTGCCACTCTTCCTCGGTCGTAGACAAGATGGCGAGCTGCGAGCACTGGTTGTAAGACCTCACAAGAGGGTTTTCTCTAAATTTAACGGCTGAAGTGACGAAATTAAGCATTATTAAAAGCTCCTGGGATGGCCCGTTCTAAAAGGTAAGCTCCAATGGTATTTCAAATTGTTTAACTCCTTTGAAAGTGAAAAAAGAGCGTTTGTAAACAACGTGCACGTGCTAGATATATAGGCGCGTGGGACATGCACATGCGTGAAGGTTTCTATAATACTTAATCAGAGTCCTAGAACAGTTAAACTACACTGGAAATTAAAACAAGAGTACTAATGTCAAATGAAATAGTAACATGCTGTGCTAACTTTTTAAATATGAGATGTGCATGTAGATGTAGAATTCTCAGGTGTTGTAGTGTAAGCTTACGTGACATCCGGCATCCAGTTTGACCAGCCTTTTTGGTCCTCTCGCAGTGGGGGCCAATACCGTGAAACTCTTTATAGAGTATTGACTTAAAAGATTTTCCTGTGAAACGTGGAGGTGTTATAGTATGTTCAAAAACATTTCCTTTGCAGTTGAAGTACGAAGTGGTAATGCCATTATAATGTCGAAAATGATGCCACTGTGTGTTTATGAACAGTGACCATCTTGAATCCGGCATCTTGGGCTTCATGATTTTTGCAAGATGTCAATATCACCAAAACTGGCTAAAAAATAGTCATAGTTGATAAAGAGAGCTAGAGTTATCTTTAGAAAGATCAAAATTTACAGTTTCATTCTCATGTCTGTTATGTTTTTATTGGTCAAGGGCACGGAAACCAGCAAAGAAGAAAATTGATAACAAAGAGGAAGTTTATGATGAACCAGATCCTGTGAGTGAAGAGCAAACTTTCCTTTGGCCTATTGATGTTTTGTGTTTCTTGTTAATAGTTGTCATAAATAAAATGTAAAACAGGTCAACCAAGGAATGCATTTTCATGTTACAGTGTTACTCAGTTCATTGATTCAGCACATGCAATGGTACTGTATGTGTATACAATGTGCAACAAATATTATACATGTATAGTTTTACATGTGGCTCAGTGTTTCCCTTTGCATTAGAACGTAAAATAAAATTAAAGACTTCAGACAGTTAATAATAACAGATATATCACCATCCACAGGGAGAAGATGACTTTTTCCATGATGATGTTGATAAGTTTCATGCTGAAAGAGAAAAGGCAAGTCATAAGGCAGCAATGCCAGATGGGTATAAAGTCTGGGTTGGTGCTGAAGTGGTTTGCGCCATGATTGGAGCTTAAATACTAAATACATGAAGGTTTCTGTGGTGCAAGGTGACTACAATCAGAGAAGTTACATGTACTGCACTGTATAAGCTACCCCAGCATCTTGCCTGGTTGGCCTTTAGATCACAATACTTTTCGTAGAATGACCCTAATCAGTAATCCAACTCAGACATCTCTATGTTCAGTCCTTCTTCAATCCATTAGGTCACTGCATATCCACTCACTCAGTGAATTTGTTACAAACTAACTATTGGAGCCATAGGAGCCACTGTTTATTAAATATGACTTAACTTCGTCCAGATTTTTCCAATGGGATTCAGTTTACTTTGGAGTTCGTTAGTTATACAATGTACAATTATGCACACACTGTAACTATTAGTTTTTCTTTGTATTGCAAAGTCCCAATAACTAGTCAACATGAATATTTCTGTTGCATACAGTAGCATGAAAAAGTAAGGCGTTTTTGTCACCACTTTGAATAAGTATACTGTACTTTGGGAGACATTTGTGTGGTTTCTGTTTCTTTTAGATTCTTCTAGACAGTACAGCCTACAACAAGAATGGACGAGAGGAGTCCAGTGATGATGATCAACAGGTACTGCATTGAAAGTTTTGGAATGATAATAATAATATTAATTATTGGACTCATCAAGGATAATTTTATACCTGTGGGTTCAGGTGTTCGTTACTTTATTTTAATTAATAATGGATGAGCTCTAAAATGGGGGTCCATTATTGAATGGGTGGGAACCATGTTTGACACAATATAAATAATACCTTTGCAGTCATTTAAAACGTTTTTTTAAAGCAAATACATGTAATGACTAGAATGTATTTGAGGCCATTGCCATTGGGTACTGTACATATATCTATGATGATGTCAAGGAGGAGGAGAAGAAGAAGGGAGAACTAAAGAGGAAGGGGGGGGGGGCAGGNAGGGAGGGGAGAGGAGTGGTGGTGAGGATTTCTTTCGTTGTCGACAGTCTTTGAAAATCCAAGGGACTGTTGTAGACTTTTTACCTACTTTTAGTAAATTGACAAAATAATTATTATATTTTGTTACTTACTACATGCACATTTGTTAAATGTATAAAATACATGTATATTATTCAGAGTGAAATATTACTGACTGTGTTTGAACAGGGATTGTTATCATGGCTCTCTTTTAGGATGAGGAAGTAATGGCACTCAATATTGATGAGTCTGATGAAGAAAGTGAAGATGGTGAGGGTGATGATGATGAGGAGGAGGAGGATGATGACCTCAGTATCAATGAAGATTGCCATGATGAAATTGATGAGGTATTTGAAGTTTTAATTAGTTCTTCCTGCATTTTTAGCTCTGAGAATTTAGAATTAATCCAGCTAGTAACTGTTAAAAAAACCTCTTTTTTGCTACTGCCTATCTACTTTTGATGGCAAAAGAAGAAAAAGCTTATGTGTAGACCATATGTACAGTGACCAATGGCAATATCACATATTGGTAGTAACTGTTTCAAGTTAAAAGCTGAGGGGTTATTAGAGTTCATTCATAAGATGCAGTGTACATGTGGTGATGACCAGACAGTAAGCAGTATTTAATTTTTTGTGATACATGTACCTGTACATGTACCTCATTCTCTGACAGGAAGATGAAGAAGAAGAAAGTGAAAATGAAGAGGCTGGAGAGAAAGGTAAGTTAGATGTATGTGGACTTCAATGATTAAGAATTCAAGTTCTCAAAGATCATTTAAAAAAGCAAAACGATTTATTAAAACTGTTAGTCATTTTT